AATCCCACTGGCCTCCAAAGTCAAATTGCTTGAGTGTTCTCAGCCCCTTTGCCAGATCCCCAGGTTGGGAAATCTGTTGTGGGTCCTAGAACTTTCTTAACAGTGTGAGAATTTATTTGGTATAACTGTTCTGCAGTTTGTGGGTTGTCTGTGTGGCGGCTCTATGGTGGGGTTAATGGCGACCTCTTCTAAGAGGGCTTATGCCACAGGCTGTGTGACCCAGGTCTGCCGCACACAAAGCCCCTGCCTCTGCGGCAGCCCACTTCTAACTCATGCCTCCACAGGAGACACTCAAATACCCAAAGGCAGGTGTGGCTCAGTCTCTGTGGGGTCTTGGGTCCTGTTGCTCAAAAGGTTTTGTTGAGCCCTCCAAGCATCTCTGGCAGGTATGGGGTTTGATTCTAATCGCTATTTTGCCCCTCCTACCGTCTTGTTGTCCTTTGCCCTTGGACGTGGGATATCATTTTTTGGTGGGATCCAACATTCTCCTGTCAATGGCTGTTCTACAGCGAGTTGTAATTTTGGGAAGATGAGCGCACATCCTTCTACTCTGCCATCTCGTGTGTCCTTAGGAACATCTTGTTGGGCTTCCCTCATAGCTCAGTCAGTAAAGAATCTGCCTGCAATGCAGGAGACCCAGGTTCGATTTCTGGGTCGGGAAGATCCCCTGGAGAAGGAAATGGCAACCTACTCCAGTGTTACTGCCTGGAGAATCCCATGGACAGAGGAACCTGGCAGGCTCCAGTCCATGTGGTCACGAGATCGGACATGACTTATCGACTAAAGAGAGAGAGAGAGATAAACATCTTGTATGTTACATTCCTTAGAATATTCTATGTCCATAATCAACTTATCCTGGAAGAAAGTTTGTTTTTTTCACCCCAGCTTACTGTTTTCTTTCCTTATTTTGCTGACTAAGCCTTCCAATAGCTAGCATCCTTATCTTGTTCTTAATCTTAAAGTGAGTGCATTCACTCTGTCAAGTTAGAGAAGCTTCTTCCTTTTCCTACATCTAGAATTTTTATCATAAGTGGATATTGACTTTTGTCTAAATGTTTTTCTCCGTCTTTTGAGGTGATTGTATGATTTTACCCCCTTACATTATTTGAATTTCTTTTAGCCCCAGACCAACCTTGCATTCCTGAAATAAGCCCATCTTAGTCACAATATTTTATTCTACTGGATTATTTTTGTTATTATTTAGGATATTTTCATATATTTATGATTTTTGTTTTTCATTCTTTGTCAAGTTTTAGTATCAAGGTTATTCTGGCCTCATAAAATGAGTTATGGAGTATTTCTTTTTTTTAAAACCACACTCTGATAATGTTGTATAGGATTGCAATTCTTTTTTCCTTGAATTTTTGAAAGCAAGCAGAATAAAATAATCTAGACTTTTCATTTCTTTTCAGGAGTATTTTTATCTACTAATTCACTTTCTTCAAATGCTGTGGACTCTTGGGTTTTTTTTTTTCTTTCTTTCTTGAGTCAGTCTTGATAAAGTTTCTAGAGAGTTATCTGTCTCTTAAGTTTTATTTTATCAGTTCACGATATCTTCTTATTAGTTTCTGTGACATTTTTTTATTTTGCTCATTTGGTTATCCTTAAATTATTTGCTTCTTTTATTTTATTTTACCAGAAGTTTGTTAGGTTATATGATTCTTTTGAAAGAACCAAGTTGATATTTCTGTTATTGTTTTCCCCCATTTCATTAATTCTTGATCCATTTCTTTCTTCTTTCTCAGTACTTAATTCTTATATTTTCTGTACCGTTTGATCATAGTACCCCATCCTTGCAGCTTTCTCTTCTCTGGCTTCTGAGGATGTTAGTCTTGAGGGAGATTTTTCCTACTTTTTTAACTGCTTCCTCTGACTCTTTGTCTTTACATCTTCTAATTAGATCCCCTCTTATCTTCAACCTTTTCTCTGTACGCAGTCCCAGCCTATGATTGTGCAAAAACAATATGGACTCTTTAGAAACCATACTTTGAATCTGTGTGCTCTGTAGGAACCATACTTTGAATCTGTGGGCTCTGTAGGAACCATACTTTGAGTCTTGAATTTTTATCTTTTCCTAGGCTGGTGATGGGGCAGTATGATACTGTCTTGGGTGCTGGGCAGCAGCAGGAGGGGAAACAACCGATACACTTATAACCATTCAGCACCTATGCATCCATGCTGTTTTTCACTTTCATTACATTATTTATTAAGTTACATGCTGCTGCTGCTGCTGCTAAGTCGCGTCAGTCGTGTCCGACTCTGTGTGACCCCATAGATGGCAGCCCACCAGGCTCCTCTGTCCCTGGGATTCTCTGGGCAAGAATACTAGAGTGTGTTGCCATTTCCTTCTCCATTAAGTTATATGAGATAGTCAATATTTTATTATGAAACAAGCTTTGTGTTAGATGATTTTACCCAACTGTAGGCTAATAAAAATGTTCTGAGCACATTTAAGTTAGGTCAGGCCAAGCTGTGACATTCTGTAGGTTAGGTGTATTAAATGCATTTTGACTTAGGATATTTTCAATTTAGGAAGGGTTTTATCAGAATGTAACCCCATTGTTAATTAAGAAAGATCTATACATATATCCATTCTTAGTTAATTGACTTTTTACTTTACTAATTTCAACTGCCCTTTCTCGATGAGTGAGTTTATGCAGAATCAGGAACCTATTCCTTGTCTTAGCCCTTCCACCAACTAGCTCAGATATCGTGAGCAATTCACTTAAGATTCCTTAATCTCTGTTTCTTCACCAGTGAGATAAGGAGGTGTGAAGTTTACCTCGGTAAACTGTTCTAGTGATAACCTTACAAGTTCTTTAGCTCTGGCCTCTGTCATTCTAAATTCCCCAGGATGACTTGTCTTAGATGTTTTATTAGGGTTTCTGAAGCTCAGTGCTGTGTCTTATGATAATCTGCATCTGTAATTCAGCCTTCTCCCCCAGCCTTAGTTTCCCTGATTGCTCCTTTGAGTGCTGCTGTTTTCTCAGGCACACACTTGGTTTTGGCTCCCAGCGTTCCTATTTTTCCATGCTGTCTTCATACTGAAGTCTGATTAGGGTATGCCTGTGTATATCTGTTCCCTTTTCCTTTCTTTAGCTCAGAATATGTTTTACGAGAATGATTTCTATGCAGTATCTACTTTAGTCTACCTCTCACATCCCAGTGGAGCCTCAGCACTTCAATTAAAAAAAAAAAAAATGTGTGCCTTTGCATCTTAGGTCTCTGGTTGTCTGAGTTGTTATCTCAGTATTTTGATCATACCGTGCTTTGGATACCATAACTTTATGCCACCCCTCCTTACCCCCAAGAGGAAGAGCAGAGAACTAAATAGCATTATGCGTAGGCCACTGGAATAGGCTTTGTACACCAGAAATCAGTCAAATTTGTGTTGTATATTTCTTTGTGATTTACGAAAAGCTTGTTATTTTTATGAGAACTCAAGAATGGAACCAGTATGTGGAATTTTCATGGTCTCCTTGAGAGTGAAATATTTTTTTCTGAAAGACTTCAACTGGTGATGTGTTCATGTCTCTTTTTCAAAATCTTATCTTCTTTTGGCCTTGTTGATTTATTTAATGTATCTTGAGCTTGTTTCTCTAATGGTACACAGTCTTAGAATCTTGACATAAGTAGTGATTTCCTGCATCGAGATGGAGACAGCAGCCATTGACAAAAATGTGCAACTTTAGTGAAACTTCTGTATGTGGCTTATGGAATTTAAAGTAAATTTTATTTCATACTAGTGTCTCACACTACTTGATGCAAGCATGTACTCTTAGTATCATTAATTATGTATATGTAAGAAGTTCTATATTTCTTATCTATGAGAAACTTTAGGAAAAACCATAAGAACAATCACTATGAGATTTTTCAAGGAGGTGAAATATATGTACACTTTTTAAATAATTATCTCAAACCTTAAATAGTTCTTGTGAGTCATGTGATCTACCTAATTAATTCTATTAAAGTGATGCATTTGCTCAAAGTTAACTAGAATATATAATGGCAGAAGTTAGCCCCCTTTTAGAAATACTACCTGAAGTTTCTAGCTTGCTCTTTTCTAACTGGTCTGCTCTGTCAACATACACGGAGGCTGAGGAAGAGAAATTGAGATAGTCCAGTGGTAGGAAATGGAAGCTCACTACTATGTTTATGTGACTTAATGATTCTTGCAGTTTCCCATAGTCCATTATATTTTATTCACTACAAAGCATTCTGGTTATTTCTAAATAATATCTAGACACAGTAATTTGAAAACAATGTAGTATGTTCCTAGAAAGTATTTCTGGGTAGTGGGGTGGTATGTCTTTCCATAAATTAGTCCAGTTCCTACATTAGATTGCAGTATGAGTGGTTAAAGGCACTGACTGACATAACAGTTAGAAAATGATAATGATAGCAGGGCCCCTGCTAATTAGATGTATGCAGCAATCTGTACATTAGTAAGATCATTCTGTTTATCTAAATGATTGCTTTTACTGTCGTTTATTAAAGCATTTTAAGAGTAAATTCATCTCAGTCTTGGCAAAGTCACCTGTTAATTTCTTCTGTCCAAGCCATGTATCGAGAAAGGAGAGACTAGAAGAGAGCCTTGGTACTCCCATCAGAGCTCTGTCTCTACCAGTCTTTACAACAGTGTAATAATGATAATCTCTTCTTCAAGCCACCTCAGGTCTCATGTTTGTTCTGACCCCACTTGCTCTAATTGCTGCTTTCACTTTTGAACTAACATGATTTTATGATTATAATTTATTATTCATAGTTTTGTTACTTAAGCTTTATCTGCATCCATGTGCATGTCTTGCAGTCCTGTCTTTAGAAGATAAATCATTTTACTGTATTTCTTCATCCTTTTGAATCTCTTTTTCTCCTTGCAGGTACTCAGAAAAATGCTTGTACAAAATAGGTACTTGATAAATGCACCTGTTTGAGAGAAATCTGGTGCTCATTCCAGTGTTGGTGTTTTCAATAGTTATATTATTTCGCTTGCTTCCTAGGCACACAAACCAATGGTCTGGACTTTCAGAAGCAGCCTGTGCCCGTTGGGGGAGCCATCTCGACAGCCCAGGCCCAGGCTTTCCTTGGACATCTCCATCAGGTGGGTTGTTCTGCTCAGCTGTGAGAGAGAGTGAAAAACGCAGACACGGAATGCTAGTGCTTAGTAAAGTCATTTCAGAATGTGGGACTGTTAAAGTTGATTTAAATCTGATGTTACCAGCATCTGACCGTGTCATTCTGAATGGTTACTAGGGAGTCCTTTAACTTAGTTGCCTGTATAGCTGTTGACCCCACAGCTGTGTGAAAAGGAGTTCCTTGTTATGAACAGATATATTTACAACTGGGTTACTGTTTTTGTGAGTGTGGTCTGTGGTGACTCACTGAAAGTATTGAATAGTAAATTACAAAGTCATCCAAAATGATTTAACACCCATTGCCTGAGACCTGCTGTGTAAGGCTTTGAGTTCACAGCTCGTATTCCTTCTTTAAAGGAATTTCAAACTATTTACATTTGGGCAACCACTTAGAGGCTTTGCTTGACTGTGAACATCCTGGTTTGGGGTTCAACTTTTTTACTGTTATATTACATGAATTTCTCCTAAGTCTAAAGCAGGCTCTAAATCTATCATCCATATGTTATTAAAGTAGACACAAAAGGAATATAAAAACAAATATTGACTCTCCAAGAGTTTGGGGATATGGGAGCTGGTTGCAAATTGAAAGTAAATAAAACAATGAAAACATTTGGGAGACAGATTAGGAATGTGTCTCAACTGCTTGATTTATGTTCACAGTTCTGTGTTAAAGCGTTACTTTGCACAACTTGTTGGTCTTTACCTCATATAACCCTCATATAACCTTTACCTCATATAAACCCTAGAACTGGTTTAGTGTACAAATTGTGCAGGTCAGCAGTAGTGACTTTGGTAGTGCCAGATGGTACTAGTGGTGGACGTTCAATGAAAAGCACATATGAACATAAAATAATAGATGTTCAATAACTATTTGTTGAACAAATGAATGAATGAATGGTAAAACTTATGAGTACAGAGAAATAAATGATTAGCTCATCTCATATATTGTAAGATTTTTATCATAGGGTAATTTTTAAGCCACGTTTTAAAGAATGTTGTTGTTCTGTCGCTAAGTCAAGTCTGACCCTTTGTAACTCCAGGAACTACAGCGCACCAGGCTTCCCTGTCCTTCACTGTCTCCTAGAATTTGCTCAAACTCATGTCCATTGAGTCGGTGATGCCATCTTCCCCAGCATCAGGGTCTTTTCCAGTGAGTCAGCTCTTCACCAAATTCTTCTTCCAGGTGGCCAAAGTATTGGAGCTTCAGCTTCACCATTCCAAAGAGCAAGCGTCTTTTAATTTCATGGCTGCAGTCACCATCCACAGTGATTTTGGAGCCCCAGAAAATAAAATCTGTCACTGTTAACACTTTTCCCTCATCTATTTGCCATGAAGTGATGGGGCTGGATGCTGTGATCTTCATTTTTTGAATGTTAAATTTTAAGCCAAGTTTTTCACTCTCCTCTTTCACCTTTATCAAGAGGTTCTTTTTTAGTTCCTCTTTGCTTTCTGCCATTAGAGTGGTGTCATCTGCATATCTGAGGTTGTTGATATTTCTCCTGGCAATCTTGATTCCAGCTTGTGCTTCATCCAGCCTGGCATTTCGCATGATGTGCTCTGCATGTAAGTTAAATAAGCAGGATGACAGATTACAGCCTTGACGTACTCCTTTTCCAATTCTGAACCAGTCCCTTGTTCCATGTCTGTTCCAGGGGATCTTCTCAACCCGGGGACTGAACTCAGGTCTCCTGTGTTTCAGGCAGTTTCTTTACCATCTGAGCCAGCAGGGAAACCCACAGGATGTTGGGAGCTGGCAAATGGAGTTGTAAAGGGATGCTCTCACTTTTGGTTTTCAACTTTCTCTTTTGAAAACTTTAAAATCTATGGGAAATTGAATAACAATAGAACAGTTTTCAGCCAAAAGCTCTTCATCTGGTATCACTGTTACCATGTTACCATATATGCTTTATGTGTTTGTGCACATACATTTTGTTTATGTATGTACATGTCAACTTGGAGAAGGAAATGGCAGCCCACTCCAGTACTCTTGCCTAGAGAATCTTGTGGACAGGGGAGCCTGGTGGGCTGCTGTCCATAGCGTCACACAGAGTTGGACACGACTGAAGCGACTTAGCAGCAGCATACATGTCAGCTTGTCCCATTATTCTGTACTGAATTTGATCATTTGATTAAGGTAGTGTGTCAGATTTGTCTACTATAAAGGTAACTTTCTTCCTCATAATTAATACGGAGATACTAGAAGACTTGATCATGATTGAAATAAATTCACAAAGAAACTTTAAGTTCAGGAAGTCTTGATGCTGTGTGCTAAATCCAAAATGGAATTATCATGTTAATGATAAATTTTTTCAGTCTTCCAAATTTGAACCCTGGAGTAATCTGTAACTTTTCTCCCTTAGTTTGTGTCCGGGCAGTTCCCAGGGCCCTGTGTAGTGCTTTTGCAGCACTTCCCATGTTTCCTACCTTTAATTCCCACTGCTGCCGTTCTCGGGCAGGTTTCCATTTACTCACACCTAGTTTACGTAACAGTCCAGTTGTTTTATAGAGCGTTCATCCATTTAGATTTGACTGATGTTTCATCACAATTAGAACTAGAGGGAAACACACTGTAAATAATACTGTATTCTTCTATGTGCATCATAGCAGAAGGGACATGTGTCATTACTGGTGGCTTTAACTGTGATCACTTGTCTTCCTGATTTTCCCACTATTTTACCCTTTGTAATTAATATCTATGGAGAGATGGGGAGAGAGTATGTAAATATCTTGTTACTCCTTAGATTTCACCCATTGGTTAGAACACCAATTAGTGACAGTTGCCTGAATCGGTTGTTATTATCATGGTTGCCACGTGATGATCCTTATTTTAATATAACCATGGTTTGAACTTTTTGAATGTGTGAAGTGTTACTATTAACTGTTCTGACAGGCTTTCATATGTGGTTTATAGGACAGATTCTTTATTTCAGCTAGGATTTTTGAATTATGACAATAAATATTTTAAGGACTTGACTATGTGGCGGTGTGTGTGTGTGTGTGTGTATATATATATATATAAGATTTTTACTTTTTTTTTTTATTTTTACTTTTATATACATGAAATTTTGAAATTAGAATGAGTAGATAATTCTGATTGTTTTTAAGGGTAAAAGTAATGTCTATAAGTAGCCCGCTTCTATGTTCTTTAACTCAATGTTGAAGATGAGTTAAGGTTTTAGAAACTAAGTATCCTGTGAGTACAAACAATGTAATGTAAGGAATGTCCAATACAAGTGTGGCATGCCTGCTGATGCAAATTTAGTGTGGGACAACATCTCCAGAAAAGAAATTTTGACAGCATTTTCTGCTGGGAGATGGGGGTACTGTGAGCTTTTCCATAAAGTTTCAACTTCATAAGGTAAACCTCTTTGTATGCTTGGCTCTGAATAAAACACACATTTATAGAAACTTGTTGATGACAGGCTGTAATGATGGATGTCAACAGTATTCGATTAGAATTTCCCCAATTGCTTTACTTTCATAGGTCCAGCTCGCTGGAACAAGTTTACAGGCTGCTGCTCAGTCTCTGAATGTACAGGTGAGCTGGGACATGGGACTGTGGATCCATTTTTCTATTCATTTTTACCATATTTTTCTAATTTTCTATAATGAATATGCAGTAATTTTATAATGAAAATACTTAGAAGTATTACTTTTTTTTCTTACTGAATCTCATAAAGATTCAAATAATGATAATCATTGCCATTAATAAAAATCCATTTTATATTACATCACTGTGAATGTCCAAAGGTGAACAAGAAAAGTCTACTTTCAAGGTTTTATTTGGAAGTTCAGTAAAAATGTTTCTAACTTGTACAGCCATTTATCATTTTTCATTTCTTAGGAAAATATTATAGTAGAGGGAAGAACAATAGAATGAGAGACCTAAGTCTTAGGTTTGAATTCTCATTCTGCCACTCACTAGCTGTATGAATTTTGGCAAGTCACTTTTCCTCCTGGAGCTCATTTTTTCTTATACAGTCGGCCCTGCCTATCCCTGGGTTCCACATCTGGAAGTACAGAGAGCTGACTGTGAAGGACTTCAGCATCTGCAGATTTTGGTGTCTGGGGCAGGGGGTTGGGGGTGTGGGGGTGGTCCTGGGACTTATTCTCTGTAGATACCAAGGGGCAACTGTATGTATTTAAGTGGATGAGTTTAGAAGATTGCCAAGGTTCTTCTCTGCTCTGCCATGTCATGAGTCTGAGAATTGCAGTTAAACCTATTTATAAACATTAATGGGCTTCATACAATCAAATTTAAAGACAAAACTTAAATCTGGGTGCTTTGTTTCTATGAACCATTCAGCATAACATGCAAAGTTCACTTTTTATGCATTACTCCATAATACTTCAGTCAACCTGCTGCTTCCTTTCATTATAGTGCTTAGGTAACTAACAGTCAAGAGAGAAAAACAGTATTCTGGAAGGTTGATTTCAGTGTTGCTAATGACTAAAGACCTTGGACTGAGCATTCCATGAAACCCAAGTGAAATATGGACCTAGTAACACATGGAGACGAGAAGAGAAAAGAAAAAGAGATAATGTGACCTTCCCTTTTGAGGGAGAGGAGGTGGAAAATTGCCTTGGTTGCCATGGTAAACTTTTATCCCTTAGAGAGATGTTGGCAAACAGGCTGTATCTCCACTGTGGAATGTTTACAGTCTTGAACTGTAATTATCTCTCAGTGACTGGCAGAATTAATCAGAGCCTTTATGTTAATTAGCCTCGCTGCAGTCCCCAAAACAGGTGGTGGGAAATATGCAAATCTAGGCAGAATTTTAATGCTCTGCATAACCAGTTTTAATTACCATGAAATTTTCTCTCAGTGCCCCTTTCAGGATCATGTTCTCTTTCCCTCTTGGCTGCAGCATTTCCCTCTCAGCAGCATTTCCCTGTTATTTGATGGGGGAATGCTAAATTTATAGTTCTTTAAAAGATTAGTTGAAAAGTTCAGTGGGTCAAATAATCAGTTTCTGAGATGGTATATAGGGAAGTATTACACTGACCACCAAAGACATATCAAAATGTTGAGATAGAGGGTCTGTCCAGTGTAAACATAGGTTGAAAATATGTTCTTACATATTTTCATTTTATTACATATTCTTACTCCTTATTTCCAGAGTTAAGGATTTGTGTTTATGAAAAATTCTGTCGACTAGTGGAAGACCAAATTACTTTTTCTTCTTAAAAATTAAGAAGAATTATTGAAAATTTTTAAAAATTAAGAAAAACTAAGCAGCTTTGCTGGTTTGGGAATAAAAAATCTGAAAACTTAATACATAAAATTAGGAAAATACAAAGATTTATAAGAAAGGAAATGTGAATTTGGAAAACTCATGATTAGATAAGTCTGTGTTTTAAATCTTAAGATATGGAATTAGTACTTTTAAAAAATCAATTATTAAATCTTTTTTTCTCCCCCCACCCCCTCAGTCTAAACCTAATGAAGAATCGGGGGATTCACAGCAGCCAAGCCAGCCTTCCCAGCAGCCTTCAGTGCAGGCAGCCATCCCCCAGACCCAGCTTATGCTGGCTGGAGGACAGATAACTGGGGTAAGTTTTCACTGAGAGGTTTGTAATAAACTTTCTTTGTGTCAAAACTGCCATTGGCTAGTATCTGATTAGATCTGTTGACTGTAGCAGATACATGGCTATACCTGGCATATGTCTTTAAAGGAATTCTCTCCATTGTAAACAGCTCTGAAAAAAAGAGCTATTCTTGTTATGAGTTTTCATGAGTTGTCATGAGTGTATTTGTTCTTACTGTGGCAGATAGGCTCTGGGTAAACTTAAGGACTTTTTTAAACCAATGTTTCAACTGTTGCTTCATCATGCAGTGGAATCATGTTCCCATGGTTGGAATAGTTACAGTGATGAAATTGTATCAGTGGTTGTCAGTGTGGAGTTATAACATCACTGCAGAGTAGAAGTTAAAGAATGGATTGGTACCTATAAAAGAAAAACATTTTAAATTACTATATAGTGTTCTAAGGGGCTTTCCAAGTGACTCAGTGGTAAAGAATCCACCTGCTGATGCAAGAGACATGAGTTCGATCCCTGGGTCAGGAAGATCCCCTGGAGTAGGAAATTGCAACTTGTTCCGGTATTCTTGCCTGGAAAATTCAGTGGACAGAGAAGCCTGGCAGGCTGCAGTCCATGGGTCACAAAGAGTCAGGCATGACTGAGTGACCGAGCACACACATAGTGTTCTAAAATGAAACCTCTGCTGTCTTATCCCGGCTCTTCAGTTTACTGTGTTGGCTGATTCATCTCTCTGTGCCTCAGGTTTCCTTCAGTTAAACGCAGATGTTAATAATACTTAGCTCACAGTATTGTTTTAGAGATTAAGAGTAATGATGTAGGTGAAACTCAGAACAGTGTCTGGCATGTCATAGTGTTCAATAAATGTCATCTGTTTTTATTGGTAGTAAATTTTTTTTAACTTTAATTGGAGGCTAATTACTTTACAATATTGTAGTGGTTTTGCCATACAGTCACATGACTCAGCCATGGGTGCACATGTGTTCCCCATCCCGATCCCCCCTCCCACCTCCCTCCCCATCCCATCTCTCAGGGTTGTCCCAGTGCACCAGCCCCAAGCACCATGCATCAAACCTGAGCTGGCGATCTGTTTCACATATGATAATATACATGTTTCAGTGCTATTCTCTGAGATCATCCCACCCTCGCCTTCTCCCGCAGAGTCCAAAAGTCTGTTCTTTACATCTGTGTCTCTTTTTCTGTCTTGCATATAGGATCATCTTTACCATCTTTTAAAATTCGATATATATGCATTAGTATACTGTATTGGTGTTTTCCTCCTGACTTACTTCACTCTGTATAATAGGCTCCAGTTTCATCCACCTCATTAGAACTGATTCAAATGCATTCTTTTTAATGGCTGAGTAATATTCCATTGTGTATATGTACCACAGCTGATCCATTCATCTGCCAATGGGCATTTAGGTTGCTCCCATGTCCTGGGTATTGTAAACAGTGCTGCAACGAACGTTGGGGTGCACGTGCCTCTTTCAATATTGGTAGTAAATTGACCTGTGCAAGTATGTTAAGCTTTTACTTTTCAGATGTCTTTGCTCTGAGGCCCCATTAAAAATATTTTCCAATGTTGAAAATTTGTGTCTTAAATTATCTTTTGTGGGGGAGTCAAGAGGAGTGGTAAGGAAGAGTTGTTTGTTATTTAGTTCATATCACATCAACCTACAAAATATTTTATTTCCTTCATTTCAGTTAAGTATGCTTTGGCAGTGGAAGGCTCTTTTAAGAATCGTTGCAGAATTGTTTTACAAAATCCCATCAATATAAATTAATATGTTTACATATTATATAAAATATTTATAAACATCTATCTTGATGGATATTGGGGTTTTGAATAATTTAGTTTTGATTCTGTCTAATACACAAATTGTATTGGGCCTTTTTTGAAAAAGGTTTATGCCACTAAATGACATACTTGCTCTTCAGAATATTCCTTCTTGATTTGATCAGAACATGTCACCAAAAAGAAGGTAAAACATACTTAACACTTTAAGTGTGTTTGAAATAAGCTGCATTTTGAAGGCAAGTTTAGATCTTCAAATACATTTCCTGTTTTCTTGTTTGGGTTTTGTTTGAGTGCCTAGTGTTTACAATAGTAAGAGACACTTGGAATCCAGGTTCATGTGGCTGGAGCTTCTGTCAAACTTGGACATTGGGATTCATTTGCATCTAAAGAGAGTGTCTGTTACCACCTTTTTCACAGAGATAATATATTTGAAAGAGGATGTAAAGTTGCAGAGACCCAATGCTTTCAGTAACAGAAAAGATTGTTGGGGAGGAGTCTGTAGGGAGACTTGGGAAAAGAAATAGACCTCATAATCTTTAGTCTTAGAACATAATGAAAGTGATGGAATATGGCAGGGATTCATGCTAATTAGAAGAAGCTGGCTTTATCAGTTCTTTCCTGGTCAGATCAGCATCCTTGTTCCTTATTCATATCACTAATCACTTGCTGTTCTGTTGGGTGTAAATTTCTTTTCATTTCCTGTCAATATTGATTCTTTTCTTCGTTGCTTACTAATTACTTTTTTTTCTTGAACCCTGGGGCCTTGGGCAAGCTTGAGTGACCAAGTCCAGAGTGAGGAGCACTATTTTAATGTAAATGGCCTGAAAGTAACGGTAGCTTGGTCACTGATGACCATGGTAGCCTCATACTTGCCATGTGAAGTTGGGTAGCTGTGGTTCACCACCACTGGAGTTGCTTACCTGAAAGCAGCTGGCTTGCGTTAGGGGCCCATCTCCGTCAACCCTTTCCAACTGCTGGTCCTGATCTTGTCTAGCTGACGCTGACACCAGCCCAGCAGCAGCTGCTCCTCCAGCAGGCCCAGGCCCAGGCGCAGCTGCTGGCGGCCGCCGTGCAGCAGCACTCCGCCAGCCAGCAGCACAGCGCCGCCGGGGCCACCATCTCCGCGTCCGCCGCCACGCCCATGACGCAGATCCCCTTGTCTCAGCCCATACAGATCGCGCAGGTGAGTGCGGGCCGCTCCCCGCTGGGCCGGGCAGGGGGCTAGCGGGCAGGCTCACCTTCTGATTGTTGGCGTGGCCGTGCAAGGGCCTGAGATGCTCTGAATCAGCCGGGTGAGTGGTGAAACCTTTACTGCTGAACTAGAAATAATACGTTTGTTTGCTTATTTGAGTTGGTACTATAAACACAGAGCTGATTATTTGAATAACTTTATATTAGGTGGCAGTTCTTGAACAATTAGCTGGCATGTTTCTGGAGCAGAGGATCACTGTGTTTATTTAATTAGCTAATTACGGCAGGCACGCGTTCCCTCGTGCCCTGCAGTGAATGCTGCCACCCCTGTGCAGGGGAACTGGGGGTCATCTCTGCCACAGGGCGATTAGCTGTGCGCAGAACTGCACTGCAGCATTGTTTGGCTTTAATTTTTGCATTTTAGGGCAGAGTATCCAGAGATAATAAAAATTTATTTAGAGAGGCATAGACAGTTCTACCAGGGAGGAAAAGTAAATGGAAACCTTTATCTCAAGGAGAGGAAAAAAGTAGTAGTCACATCAGTGAAACGTATGAAGAGTTATTATGAGTCCAATGCAGATAATCGTTTTATACCCCCGAGAAGACTCAGAATGGGCTTAAATTATAGCTAGAATTTGACTAAACATTAAAAAAAAAGTTAATAAACTATAAGTACAGAACAGATGTCAGACTAATGTTTATGACTATTATGTAATAGTTTTTATTTTGCCCATTTTTTCATTACCAAATAAATGTTTTTAATGCCTAAGTTGTGAGACTCTACCTTGACATTATTCTAATAAGATAATATTCATGCAAGGACATTAAAAATTATGAAATAATAAGCCAATATAAGCAAGTTTAATATGTTATAGATCAGGTTTTTATATGGATAGCTTTTTTTTTAGTTTATGCATTGTTTTCTAGTTGAGTTAGGCTGGTGCCAAACTTATACGTCTTTTAATTTATTGATGGCAGGTTCAGACTTAACACTTAATTTTTGCTCTACAAGAGGAAATTCAGTCACTTAAAATAACAACATATTCTTTTCTCACTTGATTTTTAAAGCTCATGTCCATCTCTACATGCTAAAGATACAACCATAAGCATTTACCTATTGAAAATTAAGTCATGACACAATATACGCTCATAGAAATAGCATGTCCTTGTTGCAGCTCCAGGTTTCTTCAAACACTTTGGAACATATCCAGAGCACATCCTTGTTAAGAGTTTATAATAATGTCAAATATTGACTCTTTTTTTATTTGGATGACAGAACTCTTCATCTGGGAACCTTAAGATTAAGTGCACTTTTATTTCAGAATCTCCAGTCCATGTTTTAATCCTGCTTTTTTAGGATCTGCAACAACTGCAACAACTTCAACAGCAGAATCTCAACCTGCAGCAGTTTGTATTGGTCCATCCAACAACCAACCTGCAACCAGCGCAGTTTATCATCTCACAGACGCCCCAGGGCCAGCAGGGTGAGCCCCTCCTTAAAGGTCATTAGTGGTACACCAAGGCTGTCCACTTGTGTGACACAGATGGTAACTATTACACTTTGGCCCAGAAGCTGTACATTAAAACAGTGGTTTTTAAAAATTTTATTTAACTTTAAGCTCAATATTCATGTTGAGAAAAACTTTGTCATGCATACCTCATTATTGAAAGTCATCTCTCCCTGCCTTTCAATACACTTACTCAGTAAGGAGTACTGTGAGTTTGACCAAAAGTCTAAATTAAATTCTTCAACTGCTGAACATATATTGGATAAATTGCTTCTAATGTTTTGATAGTTTTTTCATGGGAATGTGTTCAAAGAATGTGGGCTGAGGATTTGAGCATTGAAAGTATATGCTTCTAACAATCATTGGTTTTCTTTTGAAGTTTAAGAAAAAGAGGGTATCATGTTAGAAACTGTACAAATTTGGGGAGTTACAAAAAAAATCTTCAAGGCCTTTTAGTGCTAAATGTTGTATTATTTCTGTATAAAGTGCAATCATGTTTGTTGGGCTGGTTAATGGAATCAGTATACACAGTATTAGAGTATCAAGGCTTCAACCCAAGGAATATTAGTGCATTACTGCTTCCTCATTTTTTTTTTTAGCCTTTTTTCTTAATCATTCAAAAATCTTTTGTTATACACATACCTATCCCACTTTTAACGGATAAGATAGCCTGCCCCTTTCATGAACTAAGCAGTTCTCTGGTCCAGCATATACTAGCAGTTTCTAATGACTTTTGGGTTAAGAAGTTGAGCTTTGTGTTTTTTCTTCAGTGTTTCAAATACTTCTTCACTTTCATCCATTCCTTCCTAAAATAAAAAAAAAATGATCAACCAGAGATGTTAGGTTACACCAAAGACATATACCTGTTTTACATTTTTCCGTATCTTCTTGCCCAAATTGTACTTAATAAGACTGAATTGTAGGCAGATAAGACCTTAAGAGTTTTAAGACCAGTAGGACTATCAGGATATCAGTTGAAAATTTTCACTTCACTTTCTTATGCCATATGTTCAATGTAATCTTTAATGTTGGACATAACATGTTTGTGTTTTGTAGGTCTCCTGCAAGCGCAAAATCTTTTAACACAACTACCTCAGCAAAGCCAAGCCAACCTCCTACAGTCTCAGCCAAGCATCGCCCTCACCTCCCAGGTCAGTTTTCTTCCGTGAGGGTTGCTTTCTTTTATCCTGTTGTCGAGATACTTTGGGGCTGTGTCTAATTCAGCTCCCTAATAAAAATAATTCAAATAGTTTTAAAAAACTCACCAAAATTTCAAAGCTAGGTTTATCAGCTTCATAAAAAATAAAGCTGCCAAATTGATGTAGTCTTTGAAAACCTTCAACGAGTCCCTATTTTCTTACACGTTCATAAAGAATAGCTGTGTTAGTACTGAATGAGTAACGCGTTCTGGCTCTTTAACCACCCTCCCCCCTGATAAATGACAATAGAGATTACCACTTGAACTAGACACCTAGCGCCTCAGTTAAAACCGTCGTTGTTCTTTGCTCTTTCTCAGAAACTGCCAAGAAACTCTTCTCTCTGTGTTTTATTCCATCTCAACTTTCATATGTTGCTTTAGCTAATTTCTTCCAGAGTTTAACTATAGAAAAAGTACAAGTCTAGGCATCTAGAGGTTTAGGCTTTAGACCTAGTTCTGTTTCTTTCCTAGCTGTGACTTTGAGCATATCATTTCTGCTTTCTGCACCTGTGTTTCCTTATCTGTAAAGTAGGTGATTGAACTAGCTGATCCTCAATTCCCCTTCCATCTCTGATTCTCTTTGTTCATAACTATGGAATTTATCACTTGATACTAACAAATTACTAGATTTGACAAAATTCAACAACTGTTTATGATTAAAAAAAAAAACTCTTCTAGGAACAGAAAGTAACATACTCAACCTGCCAAAAGGCATCTGCAAAAAAAAAAAAAAAAATTTATAAAGATTGAACAGTTATCCACTGTTACCACTTTTATTCAGCATTGTACTGAAGAGCCTAGCAATGCAGTAGGATAAGAAAAATAAAGAACATGTAGGTTAGAAAGGAAGCGTCTCCTGTGGCAGACCACATGCTATTCTATGCAGAAAATTCAGAGGAATGTACAAAAATGTTGCTGGAATTAATAAGTGAACTTAGAAAGTATGATACAAAGTTAATTCGTAACTTAGCAAGCAAGATACCAAGTCAATAAGCAAAAATCTGTATATTAATAAAAATCATTTGGAAATTGAAATTAAGAGGAAAAATATTTGCAGTAATTAAGAATAAATTTAACAAAACATGTATAAGACCTATACATTGAAGACTACAAAATCTTGCTAAGTGAAGTTGAAGAAAACCTAAGTAAATGGAGAGATGTAATGTGTTCATGAAGACTTCGATTGGTAAAATAAGATCTCTCCAAATTGATCTATAAATTCAACACAATCCCAATTAATATCTAAAGGCTTTCTTTGAAGAAATATGTATGGTGTTTCTAACATTTGTACAGAATTGGAATAGCCAAACAGTTTTGAAAAGTGAGAAAGTTAAAGGGTTACTTGTTGTCTAGAATTATTATAAAACTAGGGTAAGGAAAAAAAAAAACTATGGTAAGAAAGTGTGATAATGGCATGTGAATAGAAATAGAGCAGAAGTCCAATAGACTTGCATATCGAGAGCCAGCTGGCTATCCATAGGCAAAAAAAAAAGAAAAGAACCTCACTCCTTATCTCACACAATATTATTGTTGTTGCTCAGTCGTGTTGACTCTGGGAACCCGTGGATCGCAGCATGCCAGGCCTCCCTGCCCCTCGCTGTCTCCCGCAGTTTGCCCAAGTTCACATCCATTGAACCAGTGATGGCATCCCACCATCTCATCCTCTGTCACCCTCTTCTCCTTCACAGTCATATACAAAGATTAATTTGAAATGGATTGCAGACCTAAACTTCTAGAAAAAAACTTAAGGAAAAATCTTTGTGTCCCTGGATAAGGTAATTTCTTAAGTGGGACACAAAAAGCACTTAACCATTAAAAAAAAAAGTAATAAATTTAATTTCATAAAAATTAAAAGCTTCTGTTGAAAGAATGAAAAGAAAAGCCACAGACTGGAAGAAAATATTCTTGAAACTTATATCTAATAAAAGACTTATATCCAGTTTATATAAAAAAACTCACACAACACAATAAGACAACCTGTTTGTTTTTTTTTAAGGGGGTGTGTGCAAAGTATTTGAAGATATATTACCAAAGAAGGCACATTAAATACCCAATAAGTGTATGAAAAGATGCTCAAAATTATCAGTCATGAGGAAAATGCAAATGAAATATCACTACATACCCAGAAGAACAGGCATAATTAAAAAGACTATGATAGTACCAAGTGTTGATGAGAATATAAGCAAACCCAGCTCTTAAACATTGCCACTGGGGTTGCGGATTGATGCAGACACTTTAGGAAAGAGCTCGGCAGTCTTCCCAAGTTAAATACGCCTCATGATTCAGCAGCTGTACTCTCAGAAATGAGTGCATTTGCTCACACAAAGAGCTGTATATGAATGTTCATAGAGCTTTTATGAACAGCCTTAACATCCATCAACTGGTGAATAGATACCATAAATTTTGACATATCTATACGATGGATTGCTACTCAGCCATAGAAACAAATGTACTTCTGATACATTCAACATCATGTATGAATTTCGAAAGCATTATACCAGGTGAAAGAAGACAGACATAAAAAACTGTATACTGCATGATTCCATTTATACGGCATTTTACAACAGACAAAGCTGTAGGGACAGAAATCAAATCACTGGTTGCCAGGGGATGGGGGCTAGGGGTGAGGATTGACAACAAAGGGCCCAGGAAACTTTTGAGGGTGATGGAAATTTTCTGCATCTTAATCGCTTATAGCAGTTTTATGACTAAATATAGTTGTCAAAACCCATCCAACTGTACACTTTTAAGTGGTGCATTTAATTGTGAATAAGCTGAATTACAAAAATGAGGTTGAAAAGAAAACCTATAGCAGCAATTCCTTTCTGACCTGTGAGCTTTGTAAACAGTAGCAGGGCTGATAACGTCATCCTGACCCCTGCTCACTGAATTTTACTCTACTATTTCTAGATCTGGCCCAGTCCAGCCTGAGGTTTCTGGAGTTGGGGTAACTTATCTGTAACCACTCCACCAAAAGGTACCCAAGCTATTTTTAGTCCTTTATTATTTGAGAATGGGGCTACTTCAAGCCTGGAAATAAAGCAATTGTCTGACAGTTGAGACACATCTCTAACCATCAACCAGTTTCAGTGGGAAGTTATAACCACATAGGACTCTAACTTGGTTGGTCAAGTTTTGGGCTCCTCCAGGTGTTCAGGTTAAAATTTTCCCAGTGTCAGCACCCCAGAAAGATTAATTTTGTTGTCTTCATTGAAGAGGGATGGTAGGGAGGAGCTTATCCGAAGTGTAGGCATGTGTAATTCCTAATAGGTAGTTTTCAGGGGCGGTTAGTTCAGTTGGAGAGAGCATATTACTAATGAGGTAAAATTTATGGGTATATGACACATTAAAATCATAAGAAAAAAAGCTCATAACCAGAGACTTCAGCTGTAATCCCGTCCTGTCATCTCTCACCTGGGCTTCTGTTCACAGGAAGGCTTAACTGAGCAGTTATGATGCGGTCAGGGCAGCGCCTCTCACTACTGATGCCTCAGAAGGGAGGCTTCTGCTCAGAGCCTGTGAGTCAAACAAGACAGATTACACCCTGATGTCCCCAAATAAACTTTAGATGGATTTAAATAATTAACCATTGTTAAAGACATGGAAGAAACAGGATATTAAAAGGAACTTTATCCAAGCTAGAAATAAGTCAAAGCTTTCTCAGATTTGAAGCAACAGTAGATATTAGGAAGAAAAAATAGTTCACCCAAATGATAATTCATAACTTACATACACTGAAAAATAAAAGGAGAAAAGCAGAATGAGAAAATTATTAATACAACAGACAAAGGCTTAATCAATAACATTTGATGAGCCCTTTGAGAATAAGGATACCATTAATATATAAATGGGTTATGGATGTGAAGTTAATTCATATGAAAGGAAGTACAGGTAATAATTAACACATGGGAAAATTTTGGCTTTAAGTAATAAGAAATATGAATTAAGGCATTAGCAAAGTACAATTTATTCCTGAATTAGTAAAACATTTTTTAAAACTGCTAACACCAATCATGTGGAGAACATTGTATACTGAGAACCAGCATTATGATGCATACCAAAAGCCATGAAATTGTATATGGTATGCTCTTTATCCAGTTACAGATAATCCTTTGTGAATTTATCTCAAAGAACTAATTAGAAAGGTGGAAAAAATGACTGTATGCACAGTGTTTCATTGTGGTATCATCTATGTTAGTAAAAACAAGTGAAAAATGTCTAACGATAAAAAAATGGTTAAATAAATTATTTTGATAATATTACCTTTCAGCCCACCTTTGACAATTAGGATGAATGAAACACTATAGTAGAAAAAATTGAAACCTAATATTAAGGGAGAAAAGCAGAGTATAAAATTTGGTTACTATAATTACAGTTAAGGTTAACAAATGTTATCGGTAGATGTGAGGGAGAAAGAAAACGTATAGAGGTTATGGATAAATTTAACAGTGTAAAAATGAAGCTGTATGGAAGAAAACTTGAACAAATAGTCAGAAATGAAGCTATTAAGTTATTTAAACTATAGGTGATTTGTTTTTCCCCCTTAAAATAGTTTTTAATAATCCTGTTTTTTATAATATTCTATTTCAAGTAGGAGATAGGATAGTGATAAGACAGGGATGGTTCCTGCTGTTTTGAAACTTATAGTTTAAGTGGCATATTTGTGATACAGGTTATTAAAAGTGAAGACTGATTTATTAAATGACATGAGATGCATGTATTCAGACCATTTGAAAACTCAAGGATAATGGATTTCATTTTTGTATATTCGAGTCTTTTCCACAGATGTACGAGTTTAACCTCAACTGTAATTGTAGTGTATATAACATTGCACTCTGCTTTTCTCACTGGGTGTTAGGTTGTACCTGCCGCAGTGTTTATGGTCTTCATAGTTCTTGAATATAGCTATTCCTGTAAATTGTTTACTTGCAGCATTCCAGATATAAACTTAAATTTCTTAGTGTATGTTTGTTCTTATCCTTCTGTTCCTTTTCTAACAGCCAGCAACCCCAACACGCACAATAGCAGCAACCCCAATTCAGACGCTTCCACAGAGCCAGGCAACACCAAAGCGGATTGACACTCCCAGCTTGGAGGAGCCCAGCGACCTTGAGGAGCTTGAGCAGTTTGCCAAGACCTTCAAACAAAGACGAATCAAACTTGGATTCACTCAGGTAGGACGAACCTACCTTTAACAGGCTTCCTTCCTTGACCAGGTTCAAATACTTGCATTCCATGTCCAAAAAGACTTCTAAGGAGCAGTATATTCCTCAGGTTTGTTTTTAATTTTGGACTGTAACTTTTTCTTAGCCATTTCCTGCATTTATAAGTTTAGACTTTCATTATTTTTATTCATGTATAAATATATAATTTACTGTTACATTAAGCTGTGTCGTTTGAAAAACGTTTGGTTCTAGCCCTTCGTGTTATATATAAGTAAGAATGAGAGAAATAAAAATTACTTTATTCCTGTTATAGTAGCTGAAAGGGGAAATATTTGAAAGACTTGTTTAAAATAGTTTGTGGGGAAAAGAAAGCATAATGGAAACACATACACACACAGACACAGAGTAATACCAAACTGAGGCTGATTAACTAAATAGGAATCTGTTGAAGATGAAAACTCCAAATTAATCAAAATCCAAATTAAATTTTAAAATGTCACCCAACAGAGGGTTTTTTAAGTGGATTGAATTTAATGGTTTAAACAGGCCTCTAGGTATATAGCTTGTTGTTCTAACCATCCTGCTGACTTACTCTTTGATTAATGTGTCACAAATAAAGCAGGAAAAGAATTAAACTGAATGACATTTATGTAAAATGACGCAAGATCATTCACAGTTCAGTCACTCAGTTGTGTCCGAGTCTTTGCAACCCCGTGAATCGCAGCACACAGGCTTCCCCGTCCACCAACTCCCACAGTCCACTCAAACCCATATCCATTGAGTCGGTATTGCCATCCAGCCATCTCATCTTGTCATCCCCTTCTCCTCCTGCCCAGCATCAGGATCTTTTCCAGTGAGTCAACTCTTCCCATCAGGTGGCCAAAGTATTGGAGTTTCAGCTTCAACATCAGTCCTTCCAACGAACACCCAGGACTGATCTCCTTTAGGATGGACTGGTTGAATCTCCTTGCAGTCCAAGGGACTCCAAGAGTCTTCTCCAACACCACAGTTCAAAAGCATCAATTCTTTGGCCTTTTTTATAGTCCAACTCTCATATCCATACATGACCACTAGAAAAACCATAGCCTTGATGAGATGGACCTTTGTTGACAAAATGTCTCAGCTTTTTAATATGCTATCTAGGTTGGTCATAACTTTCCTTCCAAGGAGTAAGCATCTGTTAATTTCATGGCTGCAGTCACCATCTGCAATGATTTTAGAGCCCAGAATAATAAAGTCAGCCACTGTTTTCCCATATATTTGCCATGAAGTGATGGGAGCGGATGCCATGATCTTATTTTTCTGAATGTTCAGCTTTAAGCCAACTTTTTCACTCTCCTCTTTCACTTTCATCAAGAGGCTCTTTAGTTCTTCACTTTCTGCCATAAGGGGGGTGTCATCTGCATATCTGAGGTTATTGATATTTCTCCTGACAATCTTGATTCCAGCTTGTGCTTCCTCCAGCCCAGAGTTTCTCATAATGTACTCTGTTAAATAAGCAGGGTTACAACATACAGCCTTGACATACTCCTTTCCCTGTTTGGAACCAGTCTGTTGTTCCATGTCCAGTTCTAACTGTTGCTTCCTGACCTGCATACAGATTTCTCAAGAGGCAGGTCAGGTGGTCTGGTATTCCCATCTCTTTCAGAATTTTCCACAGTTTATTGTGATCCACACAGTCAAAGGCTTTGGCATAGTCAATAAAGCAGAAAGAGATGTTTTCCTGGAACTCTCTTGCTTTTTCAATGATCCAGCAGATGTTGGCAATTTGATCTCTGGTTCCTCTGCCTTTTCTAAATCCAGCTTGAACATCTGGAAGTTCATGGTTCACGTATTGCTGAAGCCCAGCTTGGAGAATTTTAAGCATTACTTTGCTAGCGTGTGAGATGAGTGCAATTGTGAAATAGTTTGAACACTCTTTGGCATTGCCTTTCTTTGGAATTGGAATGAAAATGGACCTTTTCCAGTCCTGTGGCCACTGCTGAGTTTTCCAAATTTGAGGCATATTGAGTATAGCACTTTCACAGCATCATCTTTCAGGATTTGAAATAGCTCAACTAGAATTCCATCACCTCCACTAGCTTTGTTCACAGTGATGCTTCCTAAGGCCCACTTGACTTCACATCCCATGATGTCTGGCTGTAGGTGAGTGATCACACCATCATGATTATTTGGGTTGTGAAGATCTTTTTTGTACAGTTCTTCTGTGTATTTTTGCTACCTCTTCTTAATATCTTCTGCTTCTGATAGGGCCATACCATTTCTGTCCTTTATGGAGCCCATCTTTGCATGAAATGTTCCCTTGGTATCTCTGATTTTCTTGAAGAGATCCCTAGTCTTTCCCATTCTATTGTTGTCCTCTATTTCTTTACATTGATCACTGAGAAAGGCTTGTCTCTCCTTGCTGTCCTTTAGAACTCTGCATTCAAATGGGTATATCTTTCCTTTTCTCCTTTGCATTTTGCTTCCCTTCTTTTCACAGCTATTTGTAAGGCCTCATCAGGCAACCATTTTTCTTTTTTGCATTTCTTTTTCTTGGGGGGGATGGTCTTGATCCCGGTCTCCTGTACATTGTCACAAACCTCCGTCCATAGTTCATCAAGCACTCTATCAGATCTAGTCCCTTAAATCTATTTCTCACTTCCAGTGTGTAGTCAAAAGGGGTTTGATTTAGGTCATACCTCAATGGTCTAGTGGTTTTCCCCACTTTCTTCAATTTAAGTCTGAATTTGGCAATAAGGAGTTCATGATCTGAGCTACAGTCAGCTCCCGGTCTTGTTTTTGCTGACTGCATAGAGCTTCTTCATCTTTGGCTGCAAAGAATATAATCAGGCTGATTTCAGTGTTGACCATCTGGTGATGTCCATGTGTAGAGTCTTCAGTTGTGTTGTTGGAATGCAAAAGTAGGAAGTCAAGAAACATGTGGAGTGACAGGCAGATTTAACCTTGGAGTACAGAATGAAGCAGAGCAAAGGCCAATAGAGTTCTGCCAAGAGAACGCACTGGTCATAGCTAGATCATTAGGTGAAATAAAATTACTGAAGTATAGATTAGATTGGGTGTTTCAATAGAATCAGGAAAAGCCTGATGGTTTTTTCCCCAGAGAATATAATTACTGTTTGAAATTTAAGCCAGCACTAAAATATTATCCAAATTAGTTTATGTTGAAAGTGTAGCAACATACCACCTACTCTGGTAGATAAACATCAAGGGTGATACCGTTTTGCTCCTTATATTTCTTTGGTGATTTATTTTTGCTCAAAGAAACATTATATATTGAGAACATAAAGTGTTTTTTAATAGATATAATAATTTTAGAGAAAATGCATATTTGTGAAGAGTCTCAGTTATGAAGAAACAAATTGTAATTCACAGCTATTTTAGTACTTTTGAACTATCTAAACCATCTGACTGGCTTTTAAAAAAGAAAGCTAAGATAATATAGAACTAGGTTGATAGAAATAAACTAATAAGCTTAAATAAGTATAAGGTTGGCATGTTTAACAGTGCTTCAGCTCTTAAGCTATCAGTATAGCTTACTGTTCGTTTCCTAGGAGATTGTTGCCCAAGTGATGTGGCAAGGCTGTTAAGGCTTTTAAAAACCTTTAACTTTTATACCAAATGGTGGTTTGCCTTTCTGCAGCTTTTGACCCAACACACTGCCAGGGTTGTCTCTCTCTTTCTCTCCTTTTTTTAGTATTTGTGTATTTGGCTGTGTGGGGTCTTCATTGTGGCACACAGGTCCATCGCCTCGTGCAGGACCTCTCACAGTGGCCTGCGGGCTCTCACCGTAATGCACGGGCTTCATCACTCCGCAGCATGTGCGAGCTCGTGGCCCACGTCCCCTGGATTGCAAGGCGGATTCGTAACCGCTGCACTAGCAGGAAAGTCCCTCTCTTTTTTATAAAGGAGCTTCCCTGTGATCTGGTGTTCTGCTTTTGGTTTTATCCTATTCTTTGGCACAACTCTTCCTTATTTTTCAAAATGACTTTGACTTAGCAGTGGCAACATTTCACAAACCTTGACTGTGTGGATTAAGGCACACATTAGTGATGCAGAATGGGAAGATCAACATGTTTTATGTCAGATACCTCAATTGTAGTTTTTTAAAACATTGCTTTGTATCCAGTTTATACACATTCACTCAGAGGGTAAGTTAGACTTTTGAGTTATTAGTTGAAACAAACAAATTACTGTTCTCTGAGTAAATATACATGTATTAGGTGTTTTAAACAGTATTTTCTAACTACATAATTTGTTTTTAAAGGACTGCTGTAGATGTTATTACATAATTAGGAGGCATGCCATATTCTAACACCATCCCTCACATGTGATACATTCATTATTTCCTAATCTCAATCTTCATTCCTTTTTTTCTCTGCTTTAAAAAAAAAAAGTAATATTATTTAGTTCAGATTACGTATGAATTAACTGTTCAAACATTTACTCTGTGAGGGAGAACCCAAGGTGGTTGTGTATTACAAAAGCACTAAACCAAGCTTATATCAAATTAGTGAAAATTAGTACATTAACTGAGGCATCTGTTGCTTTTTAGTCAATGAAATTATTTAAATGTGATGGTCTGCTTCTGTTCCGCTTCTATGAGATAGTATATTCGCAGCTGTCAATAAAACCTTGTATGATTTTATATCTGTGCTGTCCAGTAGGATAACCACTGTCCACATGTGCCTATTGAGTACTTGAAAGGTGGCTAGTGGTGCTAAGGAACTAAAATTTTAATTTATCTGCTGCTTTGAATTAATTTAAGTTATACATGCAGCTGGTATCTATTCTATGGGAAAGATTAGAATATAGATCAGTTGGAGTTCAGGTATTCTCAAAGTCTCATTTTATCTTTATCCAACATTTCTCTTCTGTTAAGCTTTTTGTTACAATTTGCTCACCAGTGAGAAAATGGAGTTTAAAAAGAAATATTCTTTCTTTTCACTGACTAACCCTTTATGTAAGTGCTAATAGACAATGTTCTATCCAAAAGGTATTTTGTAGGGGAGATAAATCAAGGGAGTTAGATATTCCTAATTCAAAACGAGTGTTGCCAAGATAGTTGGGAGTTGGCTGTCTTAGTAGAATTAGCTATGTAGTATTTTGGACCAGAAGTGTTGCCTTTCTGTCTTGTCACTAAACTGTTTGAAATGAGAGTGTGAATTATTTCTATTTTTTAACTGGTGGCTCAGACAGTAAAGAATCCGCCTGTGATGCTGGAGACCCAAGTTCGATCCCTGTGTCAGAAAGATCCCATGAGAAGGGAATGGCTAACCCACTCCAGTATTCTTGCCTGGAGAATCCAAAGGACAGAGGCTACAGTCCATGGGATCACAAAGAGTCAGACACAATTGAGCAACTAACACTTTGTATTACCTATATATATACAATAAGAGAGGTTTCAGCTGGAGGAAAAGCCCTCCATACATTTCAAAGGCTTATAGAGAAAGATATTTTTTGCAGTATATTCAAGGGATCATTGTTCTATTGCTATAAGGTTACCAAGTTTCCAGTGCCCATAAAGGTTTTGACTAAATGGGTCAAAACTCTCTACTGTGAATTTCTATAATGGGTATAGAAGTAGTCTTTTTAGAATACCTGGTTTTTGTAACAAACTTTGAAATCCAAACTAAGAGCACAAAGGAGACTTTTTCACAGCTCCCAGAAACAAAAAATTAAAGAACGAAGCATGGTTTCTAAGATTTAAGTGATTTATGTGAAGTTGGACTAGTTCAGAAATATCCAAGGTTATCCAGATAGTTATATCTATTAACCCTGTAGGTGATACAGGTTAGCTGATTTTTAAAGATCACTTAGATCACTTTGGTTGCATCAATTACTTGGTAGAATATCAGCACTACCTTTTGAGAGTTAGCAGAAATACTTGATATTTCAATTATTAAGAAAAGATTCAATATGGAAAGAATATGGGACAGTTTTGAATGTTGTCACCATTGAGGCCTAATTAACAAGAACCTTCACTGGAATACTGTGCTCAGCTTAGGGATGGATGTTTTTGTGAAACCCAGTAAATGGAATGATTGTTGATTCTTTGTCTAGAACAGTTACTGGAGCAGCACCCTCGAGTAAAGACCATAAGCATTACATGAATATTCTCTCTCTCTCTTTTCTTATTCTGTATTATTGTGCAGGGTGATGTTGGGCTTGCTATGGGTAAACTGTATGGAAATGACTTCAGCCAAACTACCATCTCTCGTTTCGAAGCCTTGAACCTCAGCTTTAAGAACATGTGCAAATTAAAGCCACTTTTGGAGAAGTGGCTAAATGATGCAGGTGGGTGAATATATAAAAAAATATATATATTTCCTTGTTGTTCATTGAAATTTTACAGGAGGGATTGTTGTATAAATGGGGATTATATTTCTTTTTACATTATTGATACTACAGAATCTTGAAGCTCACTAATCTTGGGAGGGTCAACATAAATTATGACTGCATAAATTAGAGATCTAATTCATTTAAATAGTCTAGTAATTGCAAGGTTACATAATCAGCAATAGTTTTTAGCTTTGGAGCATTTCTTGTATTTGAGCCCAGAATGAGAGACAGTTGAAGGAAGGTGAAGAGGATAAGAAGGCCTATGTATTTAAATAAACTTGAAAGATAAGTTTATTGTTTCTTCCTCCATGGATTTTTATAAATTTGTTCCTGATAGTACTTCTGCTCTGTTATTAAAAGTGAGCACACACACTGGTATGTATATACAATGGACTGTTACTCAACCATAAAAAAGAATGAAATATTACCATTTGCAACAACATGGATGGACCTAGAGAATATTATATTTAGTAAATGAGTCAAAGACAACTACTATATAATACCACTTATGTGTGGAATCCAAAAAATAACACAAATGAATCTGTATTCATATAGAAACAGAATCACAGACATAGAAAAAAAACTTATAGTTACCAAAAATGGGAGAGGGAGGGAGGGACGCATTAGGAGTATGAGTTTAATAAATACAAAAAATACGAATTACTACTATACATAAAATAGATAAGCAACAAAGAGCTGCTGTATTGTACAGAGAATTATATTCAACATCTTGTAATACTCTATAGTGAAATACAATCTGAAAAAATGTATGTATAACTGAATCACTTTGCTATATACCTGAAACCAACAGAATATTGTAAATCAATTATACTTTGATTTTTAAAAAATGACCACCTTTTTATACATTAAAAAAATTGAGCTATTAGTTTTAACTTACATGCTTCGTGCTGCGGTTTCCCTTTGGAAATTTTGAATTTTGAGTCACAGAATCATAGACCGTGAGAGCTGTAAGGAATCATAGAGATTCCCTAGACTGTGGTTCTCATTGTAGATGTGAACAAAATTCAGGTGTTTGGCAAAGACAAACCTGTAACTCTCAGCTTTAAACAGTCTGATTTCATTGTTCTACATACGGCCTCGGCATCTGTAATCTTACTGAGTTCCACAGGTGAGAACTGCTGGTCTGTTCCCTTCGTAGAACATAGAGTGGAAAGAAACTCAGAGATGTCTCTGACATGCTCAGGGTCATTAAACTATTAAATGACTGAATCTTGTTTAAATTTTAAATGGTTTAAAAGTGTTTCATTGTTTGGTTTGAGGGAAAGGAGAAGGAATACCAGTGAAATAAAATGAGAGGTCATTTGCAAGATAAACATTTAATAGTAATTTCCAAGTTTTCTTGCTTTCATCCTTAGAGTTAATAAATAAAAGAGCAAGCAAAACCAAAACAGAAGAGCAGAGCTGTCTCATAAAAGCAGAAGAGGTAGGGCTTAGAGTATAGAGAGGAGTAGTAGACTGCTTTGTCAGAAACAAATCGAAGAATAGCAGTGACAGTATAATGAACCATCCTGAGACAGAGAATGCCAATAAGAGCAGTGGAAAGATCCATGGTAGTAAGCATATTTTAATACAAGTTACAATAACCTTTCATACTTGCTTTCAGCCTAAAATATTTTGATTGGTTGTTGTTGTTAATATGTATATTATGTGCATGAATCATGCTCAGCTAATTTGATTTACGTGTTTTCTTCTTTCTTACAGAGAACCTCTCATCTGATTCAGCTCTCTCCAGCCCAAGTGCCCTGAATTCTCCAGGGATGGGAATTGAGGGCTTGAACCGTAGGAGGAAGAAACGCACCAGCATAGAGACCAACATTCGTGTGGCCTTAGAGAAGAGTTTCTTGGAGGTTAGTGAGGTTTTTACTTTTCATGTACACGGGATTATCTGTGTAATACTAATGTTGTGTACAGGGAAAACACAGGTGGTTTGGTTTGGCTAAATTCTAGTGTTTGGAACCAGAACTCTTCCTTCCTCACATTGTCCAAATGAGATTATGTGTATGAAGCACTGGAAAAATTCTTAAATTCTCACTAATAAATAAAGCATTAATTTCATTCATGATTAATTACCCTTACAAATATACATATATATATTCAAGAATAATATTCTAAGTTAATATGACTGCATTTAATAAATGTATGTTTATTAGAATATAGAAGTTTTTTGTTAGAAGTGGAGTGATATGACCCTGTATAGCCCAACTTCATTCTCTTGTTTCTCCTCCTGTTTGCTTATTCATTTAATGACATGGTTATGCCTGTAGTTCAGAAAGTTTTTCCAACAGATGATTTTATTATTTTCCCCTTCAGAATCAAAAGCCTACCTCGGAAGAAATCACCATGATTGCTGATCAACTTAACATGGAAAAGGAGGTAATACGTGTTTGGTTTTGTAACCGCCGCCAGAAGGAAAAAAGAATCAACCCACCTAGCAGTGGTGGGACCAGCAGCTCACCTATCAAAGCAGTTTTCCCCAGCCCAGCCTCACTGGTAAGGATGGGATGCAAGGGCACATGCTCAAGGGCCAATGTTTACATTATGAATGACCTGTCAAATGAATTTATATCATTATAGGAATCTATTATATATATTCATGTTGAATAAAGGTATATAAATTTATATTTTAAATGTTACCAAAGTAATGAAATCTCTTGTCATTAACCCAAGAACTTAACTGATCCTTCTTTTTTAAACAGTTTTAATCCTTTCCTGTTTCATTGCAGTTCCATTATTCTCTTCTCTGCTATAGTTTATTAGGTTACTCTATAAGTGGGAGTCAGTTTGCAGCTAATTTCAATTATGTAAAAAATAGTTGCTCTTTATTCTTTTTGGGTTCTAAAGGCTCAATTTGTTAAACTTTTACTTACATGGTTAGGTGACAGTGAATTCCCAGATAACCTTTCACTCTTGAGTTTGTATTGATGTGGGCCTTTCGTTTGTACCTTACTGAGTAACCTCTCTGTTAGCGTTAAAATGGTACTCCTAGACTGGAGGGACGTGTAGTCGTCATGTGACTCGCTTGATCTTTAGGATAATTGCGGATGTGATGCCATGTTTCCACCCAGGATTCCAAGATGGGGGTATTGTTGAGTTTGCGTTTATGATACTGTCTTGTTAATTTATTTCTAATTTAATATTACTCCATGCCAAGGAGACTTTTCAAACTAAAGTCATCGTTAATAGCACTTCCTTGTTTGTTAAGTGAAAGCTTTGATTGTTAACTGGTAAGACTTTAATCATAAAGTTCATGAGATAGTAATTATGAAAATGATAGTATTAGGTAGTTTTGTTTTATGTACATGACTTTTGTATTTTGGATTTATTTGTACTAGAAGGAGGAAGGGAGAAGGGATAGAAGGATAGAAGGAATGCAGTATTTCCTACTTTAGTGTATCAATATGTATGTTAGTTCAAAAAAAGAAACTGTCCATTTTTTAAAATTTGTTTTATATTCTTTCCATAATGAGATTTCATTAAAAACAAAATCAAGACAGTCTTGCCCCCACATAGCTGAAAATAGAAGTAATAAACAAGAACTCCAAATTCTATGATCCCGTTGAAGAGTTTTCTTGTTTAGATCACTTACAATGGTGTACTGTTTTTTAATGATTTAGAGTATTATTCAACATAACTGAAATATGGGAATTTTTAAATTAATTTCTTATTAAAACTTGGACAAAGCCATTTGTAATATTAATGAAAAACCATCTACTGAAAGCAGCCTTTCAACATAAGTCAGTTTTCTCAATTCCAAGATCAGAGATTAATTAGTAAAATCATTGCTTTTTGGACACTTTAATTTTATTCTGTTGTATCTGGAATTTTAAAAATGTTTATAGGAAAAATAAATCTACAGTATGGACTTAAAGTTTTAAATTTTGGTTTTTAAATGCTTTTGCATATTTTCACTTGGACCTCTAGGTGGCAACCACACCCAGCCTTGTGACGAGCAGCGCAGCGACGACCCTCACGGTCAATCCAGTCCTCCCTTTAACCAGCGCTGCGGTGACTAACCTCTCTGTTACAGGTAAGTGGCGGCCAAGCAGTAGGCCCGCGATGTTTCTGTGAGAATCTGCCGTTCAATTGTAAACTAAGGTTTTAACTAAAAATATATATTGCTTTTTTAAAAGAAAAGTTATATGTGAAAACCTGAACTCTTAAAAAAGTATCAGGCATAGTACATTTTTCCAGAAAGAATGCTTTCACATAAAGATTTTATCTTTTTTTCTTTCCCACATTAGTTTGTCTTCTACATTGCTCCTCGGCATTACTTTTTTTCCTTTTTTTCCGGCTGTGCCATGCAGCAGGATCTTAGTTCCCCATCTAGGGATTGAACCTGCAGTGGAAGCACCAAGACTTAACCACTGGGCCACCGGGGAAAGCCCAGAGTTACTTTTTTTCCAGTTAACTTCTCCTCCCCTTGAAAATGTGTAATAGCTTCATCTTTTTGCATTCAGGAAAACATCCAAATTCACCATGAATTCATAAACTGTTTACAGTCTGGACCTTATCTTCCACTCATCTTTTCTCCATCCTATCCTCAAAACACAGGAAGGATCCCCTGTACCTTTGTAAACATCCCACAGTGTAGTGTCCATCCTAGCCTTCACTTCTTTCTGTTAGTGATGAAACTACTCCAATTGAGATATCAGTTCTTCTTGGATGTATACTGCTTAGCTACTCCAGGAAATTATTTCCACCTGCCTATATTATAAACAATTTTTGTACTTCTTTCTTTTCCAATAGACTTTGTACATCTCAAAAGATGTGACTATCATTTTTGAAATGTCAGTGCCTAGCTTAGTGTTTGATACATTCATGGTAAAAATGAATAAACATTTTCTGTTAAATGGCACATTTTCCAGATACATCTAAAATAAATTAGTATTGTCATCAGAAGTTTTTTAGTGATACATTTTGCAGAAGACATTCTCTAATTATTCACCAGGTTGATATATATGCTAGTAAATCATTGGATAGATTTATGATCTTTCATAATCAAGCTTAAATTTAACCTGGAGTTGGGAAATTTGATTTTTTTCCACTCATATTTTAAGTGACTTAACCATGATGTAAAAATTGGATTAAATGGTTTTATGTAGTTATTAAATTTCTAAGTTAGAAAATTTCATAATATTGTTTATTCAGAGCAGTACCTTTGATAACTTTTGGGCCTTTGACCTCTTTGAAAATTCGGTGAAACTATAAACTTTTCCTCTCACAAAATAAACATACTCAGTTTTTAGTAAAATACAAGGTTTATAAATGACAAACCTCATCAGCTCTCACCTTACCAAGGCTTGCCATTTCTGGAAGTCTTAGAGGTAAATTAAAAACTTGTGTTCCAGAGTGTATCGTATTCAGCACCTTAGCTTAATATGCAAACTGTTGGTGATCGGTCGCTATTGTGTTGGTCACCAGGAACATGAAATTCCTGCTTCTGCGGCAGTTACTGTCTACCCTAACTGCATTAACTGGTAAATTGTGTACTTTACCTTCCAAACAAATTATAAGTCATATTACATTAGGTTTAAAGATACGCTTCTGTTGAAAAAAAAGTCATAATAGTTCAGACATTAAGAACAAGTAGCTTTGCAGATTTCATAAAATGGCACATTAAATGGCATTTCTTAAATGGCACAAATCGGAAGCAAAAGGTAATTTTAAGAAGATATACATAGTCGAAACTAGCTGGAAATTAGAAAAAAAATTTTGGTGATCTTAACTGACTAATCAAATTCTCTTAAACTCAATTACTTGGCCCATTTATGTACATTTAATTATGACAATTTTCTGAAATGTTAGTAACTGTTGGAATGGAATTTTTCTTTAATCATTAAAATTTTTAACATGGGAAATTCAAATAGGAAAGACAGTCATCATGAGTACTGTTTTTATATCTTTTTTTATGTGTACATAGATGTACAATTCTAATAGTATTTACAGTGTATCCTGCTTTTTTTTTTAACTTAATATCTTTTAACATCTTCCTCTGTTACTATAGTCTTTACTTTTCTAGTTTTGATTTGCCTTAATATCAAATGATCGTACTGTAATTTCCTAAACATTTCTATATGCTGACATCATGGTTAAGTTCTATAGAAGGTAGCCAACTTTTCCAGTTTGAGCCCTGCAAATATTAAATCCCAGGAAACTTCTCAAGTCTATAAGCCACATAACTAGCCTTGCTTGTTCACTATTGTATTTATCATGTCCAGCACACCACCTAGAGTGTAAGATGCCCAGTAATTATTAAATGAATGAAGTTTTCACTCTAATGAATACTATAATGAACACTTTTGTGCATACAGCTTTTTCTTTAATTTTTTTAACATCATTTCAGATGTATAGAAAAGTTATAAGAATAGTTTGAAGAAATCCCAAATCTCTTCCTTACATTTTCCAAATATTAAAATTTTACTGTATTTGCTTCCTCTCTTCCTTTTCCCCTTTCTGTGTGTTTCTCTTCCTGTGTTTGTGTATGTGGTTTTTTTCTGAACTGTTGTTTTTTTTTTTTTTCTGAACTGTTTTTAAGAGCAAATTACAGATATGCCCCCCCATACCCCTAATTCTTTACTATATATTTTTTAATAAGCAAGAAATTCTATATATAACCAGAGTAGTTACAAAACATCAGGTTATTAACGTTGACTCAATTACTATTATCTAGTAAATAGCTCCCATCCAGATTTTGCCAGTTGGATCAGTAATGTTCCTTATAGCAAAAGAGAATCTGAGGTCATATATCACACTCGGTTGCTGTGTCTCTTTAGTTTCATTTGGTTTGGGACAATTTGAGTCTTTGTGTTTTGTGGCATTGATATTTTTGAAGAGTATAGTCAGTTATTTTGTAGAGTGTCCCTTTGGGTTTACCTGATGTTTGGTCGTGATCAGATTCAGATTATGTACTTCGGGCAGGAACCCACAGAAGTGATGCTGAGTCCCTCTTTGTGCCGTATGTGCAGACGTGTTCTGTTGATTAGTCCCAATGTTTTTAACTTTGGTAATTTCATTAAGGTGGTATCTGCCAGATTTTTTTCATTGTATAGTTATTGTATATTGTATATTGTTAATGTAATAACATTGTATAGTTGTTTTACTCTTTACAGTTAGTATCTTATGAGGAGTTTGAGACTGCAAAAATCCTGTTCTTCAAATGTTTATACACTAGTGTCCATTGATGATCTTTGCCTAAATCTATGTTATTCTGACTCTCATATAGTTTCATCATTTCTTTTACATTTATTAGTTGGCTTTCAACTCTAAGGATGAACTTTTCCTTTTCCTCTATGTATCTATCTGTATCAGTGTGGACTCAGAAATTCTTTCTGCATTCAATAGGTTACAATCGTACTATCACTTTTTATTTATTATTCAGATTTTCCAGATTTAGCCAAAGGGAACTACTTCAGAGTGGCTTCTGTGCCCTTTTGACGTGTCCCTAGCATTCTTTGAGTACTTCCTGATTTTTTTGGCACACATGATGTTCAGCCTCATCTTAAAGTTTCTCTGCCTCTGTCCTAGAATCAGCCTCCTTAAAATCCCCAAGTTCATACTGATATCTCCAGTTCCAATCCAATACCCTGTAGTTCATTCTTTTCTATCCTAATCTCTTTCCATATTTTAACTCAGTAACAGTAACCTGGCTCCCATTATCAATTACAAGTTACTTAATTGCACCATCTTATAGTGAAAAGAAAGGGATTTCAAAATTGCTAACCCATGCCTCTGAAAAGACCGACTAATTCAGTTCAGAGTTCTTGTCTTAAACTTAAAGACATGACGTCCAAATACAGTGTTCAAAAGTTATCTGGGTTAGTTCTTATATGCCCTTCAGTATATTTACGTTATTCATTTGAAATTCCATTTAGTTTATTTTTCATTCATATAGATTAGTGTTTATCCTTCCATCCTTGTGATTTTTTTAAAGAATATGAGATATTAACTATTTTATAAGTCAAGACTATACAAAAGGTTCTCCTTAGAAAAATGTCATTCCTTTCCATCATAATTCTCTGTATCCTTTCTATCCCATTCCCACTTGTGCCATTCCTGCGTACTTAGGTAACCTTTTTTTGCTTAACAGATATTCTCAAAATCACTCCACATTAGTTCATGGAAATCTTCATTATTTTGTTTCATTGTGGCAGAGTACTCCATTATGTGGATATGCTACATTTTATTTTAACTCTTTTCCTGTTGTATGGACATTGAATTTGTTTCCAATATTTTTTAATTATTGACCATCTTGCAGGAGTAGCCATGTGGACAAGTATTTTTGTACTGTTGGAAATGTGTCTTGAGGGTAAATTTCAAACTGTAGAATTGCTGAGTCAAAAGGTAACTATGTAGTTTTGTTGGATACTGTCAAATTGCCTTCCAAAAGGAGTGTACTTATTTTCAGCCCCACTAATAATACATGAGAGGGCCAGCTTCCCCATAGCCTATGCACTTTTTAATTTTTGCCAGTCTGATATGTGAGAAGTTATATCTCAGTGTACTTTGCTTTTTTATTTTTGGCTGTGCTGGGTCTTCTTGCTGCGCATGGCTTTCTCTGGTTGTGGTGCACGGACTTCTCCTTGCAGCGGGGCACGGGCTCTGGAACACACGGGCTCAGCAGCTGCAGTTCAAGGGTGTTGTATTGCGCAGCCTCAATGGTTGTGGTAGAAGGACTTGGCTGCCCCTGTGGCCTGTGGAATCTTCCGGACCAGGGATGGAACCCACATCCACCACACTGGCAGGTGGATTCTTAACCTCTGACCACCAGGGAGGGTCTCTCAGTGTACTTTAAATTTCAGTTTTCTAATCATGTAAAGTTGAACATCATTTCATATACTTAAGTGTCATTTTTCATCTTTTATAACAGTGAAATAGGTTTTGTTTCACATCAATTGATCAGTATTGCACAGACTAGAAATTCCAGCTCAGGGAAGTGGTAAGAGCAGACATTGTTGTCATTTTTCCAACCATTAGTTTTATGTTGGTGCATAACAGTTGCTAAGACTTAGTGGCCTAAATCAATACTCA